TATTTATTATAAACGTTAGTCCTTAACACCTATCACTGTGTACATCACCATTCAAACATCTTTTAAAAGTTGAACAAACCCCACACAGCTCAGTGAAATGTTGACTTTATTTGATCATTTCAGTAAAAACTAACGTTCATATTTCTCTTTTTGATTATAATACTGATGAACGTTCAAAACAAAGCACTTTGGCAACTTACCACATACGTTTTAAAATGCTTAATAAGCACCGTAACTTTCATGATATAATTTCTCCGTCATAATCGTTTGTTTCCGTGAACGGCCGACTATTGTGTGACACAAATGCTGCGGCTGCAAGGCATTGTGGGGAAGCATTTTCTCCTCTCCTTTCGGTAAGGAAGGTCCAGTGGTTCCTAAGCTAAAGGAGGTTATAAAGGAAGTTTGAAACCTCCTTTCCTTTCATTTAGAGAATTGGAATGGCACTTAACATGGCTGCCACTGACGTACTTCCGGGTCATTTCACTTGGTTAGGAAGGTTCCTAAGCTAAATGGACTATTGGAACGCAACCTGGGCCTGCCGGTAAGCGTGGAAGTGTGATCTGCCGCAAGCGGGCGGCAGGAGCGGGGATGTCAGCATCAGCTTGTAGATGGTATTTTAAACTTGATGCGCTCTGAAACTAGGGGGCGGCCGAGGACAAAAGATACACATGCGTTAATCGCGTTAAAATAATTTGTGGCGTTAATTTTTTGTTTTGTTATTAACGCGTTAACTTGACAGCCCTAAAAAATACACATTGGGACGGCTGTGGCGCAGTGGACTAGTGCGTTGGGGTTCAGATCAGGGGAGCACAGGTTCAAACTCCACTGCAATCAGCATGTTGTTGTGTCCCTGGGCAAGACACTTCACCCCAAATTGTTCCTGTGGGGGTTGTCCACAGTATTGAGTATGTAAGTCGCTTTGAATAAAAGCGTCTAACAAGTAACAAGTAGTAAACATAACACAAGTTAATAACGGTGAAAATTCTAGTTTTTGCTGCTTGTTCGGAGTTGGCACACACTCAACATCATCACTCTGGGTTCGGGGGTCTTTAGCTACTAGCTTCGTGTTAGCATGTTGCCTTTGCAGGTGCTTGTAGAGGTTTGATGTTGTTGTGTTTTTCCTTACCATCACATTCCTGTTCTTTCTTCTGACACATTTAAAGTAATGGGCATACCTCCACCCCTCAAAAGTTATAGCTGTTGATGTGTCTGTCTGCACTGCAGCACAACCCCTGTGACAGTTGCATGCAGACAAGTCGCGTAAATGTTACGAAAATATCCCTCTAGTGACTTGAAATATTTAAAATTGCTCAAAGTTAAACCTATCTTATCTACCCCTGGAACTAGCTAAACTAGTTATAAATATGTTTATTATTTACTGTCGTGTTGGGTCACTCATTCACTGGATCAGCGAGCTGCATGAGACACAGACGGGCTGTCAGGAGAGGGAAAGAGGAAAAGAGAGGCTCCCTTTATGAAACCCGCCGTGTTATTATCCAAAGTTACTGTAAACTTCTGAATAATGTAGTAACTACTAGAGTCTAGTCTGTCAAAGGGAGAATCTAGTAATTTGTTCACGCAATGTTAGTAACTATAGTGTGATTACTGAATTTATAACTGTAACGTGTTACATTACTCTGTTACCGTCAAATGTAATGTGATTACAGTACTTTGTAACGCGTTACACCCAACACTGGCGAGGATACACATACATCTTTTACTATACTTGTGAGGACCATAACCCAATATGCATGATGTGATGACACACACACACGTTTTGCTATAATTGTGAGAACCATAGCATGATGTGAGGATGTTCCTCTCTCCGCTGCAGACCCAGTAATAAAGGAGCAGCCTCTGTCAAACTCTGAAAACAACATGGTATCCAGTGGCAACACTACAACGCGGTGAAACACAGGTAGCAGTTTGTAAAAAGTGGAGGATAATGTTTTAGATGTAGTCTTTTGTTTAAAGATTCAAATGTTATACATAATTTACATGAATATTTAGATAATGTATATATATATATGTAGAACATCTTCATAGATGCCTGCTGAACACACAATGACATTATTATAACCCATCTTTTAAACAAACCCGATTTTGAGATTTTTCACTAAATTGAGTTTTCAAAAGTGAATTCGACCATTAATACCACATTGCTGTGCTGTAGCAAGAATAGCCATACAGTTCCAATAAATACAGTGTGATGTACAGATGGGTGACAAAATGGAAGAAAAAAGTGAGACATTACACTCTTTTCTCAAAATGTTTTCAGTTTTTTTCTTTAATTTGTCTATCATCTTTATTTAACGTCAGAGTATTAAGGGGCCATACAAAGGTTCAAGAATACTCGATTCTTGAACTCACTGCAAAAACTCTTGAATATCCTCTGAGATTTAAGTGGTGTTTGCACCAATGTATGACTTATTAGTTTTTCTCATTAAGTAATGACTTTAATATTGACAATTCTCCTTTTTTTCCGGAGAAAAAACAGTTGACTTCGATAATAGGGAACCTGAAAATGCTAACTCATCTTGAGGTTTAGGACTCATTCCTGCACCACTGTATTGGTCTTCTCAGTATCTCTAAGACTAAAAGTGTTTATTTCATGATTGCTGTCCTCTCTGGTTTTCCTCTCTGCAGAAGTGAAAGAAGAAGAAGAAGTTTGTTACCTCAGCTTTGTACCCGGTTGTGACAGTAACTTTGACAAGTGTACAGTGACAATGGATCAAAGTAACTCTGACCAGTTACAGAAACACACATCTATACACACATCAATGCAAGCACACCTCTACACAAACACACATGCAGACATGTATACACACATCCTTCTCCTCTGTATCAGTCTGCCATTGGCTTGTCCTGGTTACCTGTCCAGAAGCCTGACCAATGAGCTTGAAGCTGCTCCCCCCCCCACACCCCCAATTGTCACCCCCAAATAGTATTTTCCTCCCAACTCAGTGTCGTGTAGATCAACACGGACAAACAACTTTTAAAGACAATTCAGTCCCTCCTCTCTGTCGTCCCTTTTTCCTATCGTCCCCTCTTTGTTTGCATCAGCATGGAGAATGAACAGGAGCGTCAGCCTGTAAAAATACCCCCCCCCCTACCCGACCTGTTCATCCATCCGTCTGTCTGCCCCCCTTCATCCTCATCCTAATCCCAACAGACAGACAGACAGACAGACGTCTTAGCACTACTCCAGTTCTGAAAGTGGCATGGTGGACTCTAGATAGAATGATTATAATAATATTAATGAAAAAAATAAATGATTTTTATTTAGATGAAGTGTGCCTGTGTCAAGAGTGAATTATTGCTATTTATTTTTGTAGGTGTGTGACATCTTTCTGATTTAAAGAGCAACTTGCAGGGTTTTTTTTTCTACATTTATGCTTAAACTTGCTTGAAAATTACAATTAAAAAAGTGAATGCAGGATTTGATATGTTTTAGGAGACATAAAGGCAGGAATTCAGAGGGAAAGGAGCGATTTTGAGCTCTGCTCTTAAAAACGGCTTTTTTTTAAGGTCATACGTGAAACGCGTCATATTACATCACAAAGGGGACACATCTCCGCTCTCTGACCACGGGAATAGTTAGTAGTTGCAGTTGTGTTGAGCGGTTGTGTTTTAGTGAGCTGGTATTTTTCGGTAGTTTTACATTGTATTTCACCATTTGTAATCATGGTGCAATATTGTGTTTGTGCAGGTTGCACAAATACCAGCCTGTCAGGACATCGAGTCCATAGTTTCCCTCACGGGAAAAGGACCGGATCTAGCGTTCGTTCCTGGGTGCTTTGTGCATCCACCTCCCTGCAGCACATACTCTCCACAGCTTTATCAGGAAACCGGATTACTTCTCTCTCCCCCCCCTTCGCTGCTCTCTCTCTCTCCCCTCCGGTACACGTAACCGTAAGACGTAGTGTGGAGTTGCATTAGGTAACGCTGTGGTGGCTGTACTGCTCCAGCCGTCTCCTTTGTGTTTGGTTGTTTCCCCCTGTCTGTTGTTTGTGTGGGCGTGGTTGCTGTCACTCCTGGCTCCTGGCTCAACCTCCACTCACCTGCTTCAATCAGCTGGTCACCCTCCCCGACTACACACCTGCTTTCCATCAAGCCATTTACAACGGCATATCAACGGAGGCTCCACAACCTTTCTCCGCCAGATCGTCAAGTATCAGCCGTATCTCGCGTCTCCCCTCGGTACACAGCACCGTAGTGTGGAGTTGCATTAGGTAACGCGTGATACGGCTGATACTTGCGCATTAGTTTCTGTTGTGGATCAGTATCAACCGTCCTGCCAGTAACGTTACTATATTATCAATGCTACTTTAGTTATAGCCTGATATATGATAGCTAACTTTACAATGTTGTGATGTGACGTTAGCTAACATTCTGTAGCTAACTCCGATCACTCACCAAGGTAGCTGCCCAGTTCTCCACTGGTTCTCCTCACACCACAGCTCAATTTCTCTCCGATGGCCGTTATTTCTTCTAATCCTTGGCTGCTCCTGGTCTCTTGGACGCCTAGCAGGCTCATAATTATAAGGTTGTGGTCCGTCATATGCATTCGAATATTCATGTTCAACTTCTTCTGTGTCGAAACTAGCATTGGGATCCATGTTTAGTAATACGTTACACCGGCCGCTCTCCCCCTTGTGTCCCCCGTGTTACGTCACACGCGGGAGGTCACGTGCCGAGGCTTTTTTAT